ATTGAGCATTTTCCGTAATGCATCGCCCCGTGTCTGTTTAAATCATCAACAACTGAAATAGAAATGTTTATTAATTTGAATTATAATGAAAATAAATATATCGTAAAAATTAAAAGCAGAAACTACGATATTTCAGAAGTAGAAACGAAAACAGGAATATTATAAAAATAAAAGGTTTCTCATTTCAAACCACTGCCATAATTACAAAATTACAAACATTATCAGTAGAAAATTTTCTGTACTTGTATTCACTTCGACAACACCATAAAAAATCGCAATAACCACCACGTGATTAAACCACTTCGTCACTACGAATAAATAAAAAGGAAAAATTAATAATTCCTTTAATAGTATACTTTGAAGTTTGAAATATTCAAAAATATCTAGCAACCCGAGCATCGTCTAACGAAAACCAAAATTCGTTAATAACCATGGACACGGGCCGATGGGTTAGGTCTGATCAATTGAAGCGTGCTGTGGTGAAGCACGGTGGCCATAAAACGCCCGAAGGGATTCGATTGTAGAACGAACGAGCCCGATTCTTGAGTCCTCTGAAGATCTTTACCCCCTGGGGTAAGGAGGGACTTAGTCGTGGATATCTGTTTGAATGAAGGTAATATCAGAGAGAGGTTTTTGATAGGGTCCGAGGGTGGCCGGAGCCGAGGTAAAGACAGGGTCCCAGAATGACGTCGCGACGGAAGCTGGAATGGATGAACGGGTTGTCGTGTGGAGGGTGGTCAACGTGAGAATGACGACGTGAAAAGAGACAGGAGAAAGAAAGAGGAAATGGTCGGAGACCCTCATCATCCTCCGCTAATATTTACTTACGCATATGCAAAGACCAAGCCTGGTTGCCAAAAGAACTATCTCGTTGGTATTCTTTGATAAAGATGCCGGGAACTATAGATGGCGCTTCAGTGACCGCACCTAACCCCGTTTAATACACCTCTGGATATCCGCCCACTATCACGATGCACTTTTGTTTATGGAAAAGAGGATCAATTAATAATACAAGGTAACGTTACGGATATATGTTGTACAGTGGACGAGAGGTAATAGTATTAACCGAGGTGAGTTTGAAGGGGGATTTGTTAGGTTATAATTGGCTAATTACGCGCTGGCTCGTGACATAATTAGAGGGATGGGTTCCTCGAAACGTTGGTTAATCGAAATTGTTTGCAACTGAAGAAAGTTTCGCGTTTTATGTCTCTTATATGAATGGAGGTGTGAATTGGAAATTGTTGTAAAGCTTGGTGTTCCTTATTTGGATGAAGAACGTTTGACGATGTTTGGAGGTTATTTTCTTTCCTTTTATTGATAGTAATAGAATAAGATTTATTGGGGGAATTGCTGTGACAATTTTCATTGTTTGCAACTGGAAGAAGTTTCACGTTTTATGCCTCTTATATGAGTAAAGAAATAAATTAGAAATGGTTTTAAAGCTTGGTGTTTCTTATTTGAATGAAGAATGTTGGACGATGTTCGTTTGGTTTTATTGATAGTGATAGAATAATATTTATTAGGGAAATTGCTGTGACAATTGTCATTGTTTACAACTTGGAGAAATTCATGATTGGTGAAGTGAATTAGAAATGGTTTCAAAGCTTGGTATTTTTTATTTAGATGAAGAACGTTTAACGATGTTTGTAGGTTAGTTTGTTTGGTTTTATTGACAGTGATAAAATAAGATTTATTAGGAAAATTGCTGTGACAATTGTCTTGAGCATTTTCTCTATTAAGAATAGAATTGAAGACTCTTGAAATCGAAAAATATTTCAAATCTCTGCGTTTCTTGTTCACTCCTTGTATGAAAATTTTAGCTATTTTCTCTGACAGTCTTGATATATCCATAATCATTTTGAATGGTTTATTTATTAATTAAAAATGGATTTTCTGAAATTTCGATACCTTGAAATTCATAATACAGTAGGAATTTCGAGAATTCAAAATTTTGCATACATTAATTATACATTTTTCCAAAATTATATTTAACAAAATCGACTGCCAAAATATCTTAAATAATAATTACTTATTTATTTCGTCTAGCTTCAAAAATTTGTATACCACAATAATAAACAAATTTCAAAAATTGCAAGGCTTTTTTTGTGAATCGTATTCGTATTAATAATTAAAAATGTAAAAAATGTAGAAAATTGAAAATCAAATTTTTCTTTTTCAACAGTCAAATCAAAGTTATTACAATCATTGAAAATAGAATTACCAAATTATTATTAAAAAATTTCTAATATTGCCAAATTTCCAATTAATGAATTCTAAAGTCTTTTCAAAATTAAATAAAATGTTGCCAAAGTTAAACGCTCACATACTTAACAAAAATGTTAAAGAACAATTCGACAAAGAAGCTTGAAAGAAAATGTTATTTTTGTACAATTATAAATAAATACTTTCATAGCATTCTCATAATTGTACTTAAATTTTTATTATGCTCCTATTACCACTATCAACCAAACTGTCATGACTACAATTAAAATGAGCAAAGCAATTTATCTTTAGTATCCAGTGAATAATTAATTACTCTTTATCATAACATGAATAATTATAACATGAATAGCATTTATCGTAATTAACGTCTACATCTGTAGACTGAAGATGCATAAACAATTGATACTAGTCGTACACAGAGAGCATACGAGTTGCCTCATTTTATTCTTTTCACACGATTATCTCTCGAACTATTCGTTATTGGAAAAAGTATTTCAGATACCATTCTCCGTGTTTCGAGTGCGAAGTAATTGCAGAGTAAGGATCCAACAATAGGCATTTCACGTTTGTAAACACGCTCCATTTGTGTAAGTTCGTGACACGACCACGTGCTGTTCAAATTTCAACAGTAAGGAAAGTCTCTTGACATTGAAGAAACAAACAAGTGTACACTTTAAATGACCCAAAATGACCTCAGAAGATTCACGTATTTAAACCTGTAAAGTTCTTTAAAGTATGTAGAATACATTACAAAAATATAAAGCAACTATAAATTATAAAATTAATACAATTTAACATAAATATAATATTATTTAATGAAATTAAGTATTCTTTTGAATTTTTAAATATATCTTCATGATAATTATAAAATTGTCTATTTCTGTTATAATTTATTATGAAAAGGATTTATGTGCTATATATAAATGTGCTTTATTATTATTATTATTAAATTTCTTTATTGATCGTTATTAACGTCATTTTGCTCTTTTCCTTATTTAAACCCATGAAAATAAAAAATTAATAAAAGAAATTGTTATACAAGAAGGTTAACAATATTAAAATACAAATTTGTTAATTAATTCTTTTTAAATTGGAGTTTTGTTTTGGAAGTGTTCATCACACATAATAAGATATTACATTGAAATGAAAACTTCTTTGTTATTATTACAATAATTTTTATGATAAGAAACGAATGTTTTGGTTCCCAAAAATTTTATTTCATTTTCACATTACGTCCACAAAATTTAATTAATGTTAACGTAATATTTATAATATTCGAAGTTTATACTGTTAATTTATACTATTACTATATACTGTATATATGTAAATTGATTTAAAGCAAATATGTGTAATGTGATCTAACAAACAATTGTTAAATAAGAAATTTAACTGTTATTATGAAATCAACTGGCACATTCAGAATATGACTTTATTTACTTTTTAAATAGAATAAGACTTAATTTGTTTGTAATTTGTAATAATGACATAAAATTTAATTTATTAACATTATATGTATTTGGAATTTATGTAATGGTATTAGTGTAAAAGTATAATAGTATATATCTATTCAGAAGAAATAAGCATTATGATATAACCTGTAACAAGATTGTTTGGCTTCCAATTGTCTGAATACATTTAATATCCTCCTGTCAGTGTCTTGCCCAATTCTCGAAATGTTACGTAGTACAGTTACATTTTACTCATTCTTCTTTCCAGTGAAAACTTAACTTCGTTTATTACTTTCCTTCTCCCTTCCTTACCACTGTAATTTTGTTAGTCCTCCTTCTGTAACAAGATCAATAGATCCTAGACTCCATTTCTTCGACTTTCCTTCTGTTAGTTTGGACTAACACATTGTGTGATAATATTAAATTATAAGATAATATTATTTTGTCTGCATCAAAGAAATATTAGAATTTTAATAAATTTTAGAAATATATTTATATTCAGGTACTGAGTGTTACTAAATAAAATCCACTGATGCCTTTATAGAAAGGTATTTACTTTGATCCTTATTTTTATTACAGTCGATAAATATGAAACGTATGACCACCAGTAGATAAAATAGGAAACTATTTATATCACCGATAGAAAAAATAGTAAATTTTGAATCACCAACAAATTAAATAGTGAATTTTATACCATCAGCAAATCAGATAGTAAATTTCTTACCACGAGTAGATAAGATAGTATATTTCATATCTTCAATGGATAAGGTATAGATATATAGATATAACCTAACCACGGTATAGAAACTTATTTTTCGTTATGCTTCTCCATGTAGTTAATTAACTGGTTGTATTTATGATTAGAGAGCGTTGCAATCAATCTTTTTTCTGAATCGGTAATGTAATCAAAGCTGTTCAACGAAAATTTGTACAATGTTAGGTCTAGTCTATACTTCATCTATATCTGAACCTAATCCAAACCATTGTATAGCGTGGTACAATAACCTATATAACATGCATTTTTAAAGATATATAACTTTTCCACCAACGTTTATATTGCTTTACCAATGTTTTATAATATATATTTTTATTTATAGATTTAATAAAAGATATTTTCAATTGTACTTACTGTTATATCAATTCATAATAAGTAATGCCAATAATATTACCTTCAGTTTAACAATTTTATCATTTTAAGATGTCGTTAGCATAGATCGATAATCCCGCCATCTAGTAATTCCTACTAGCATCAACATTTACACCTTGATGAATCTAGTATACTGGTTTAATTCCGGTATTGACCGTTTTTGGTTATACGGTTGGCTGGTGTGTGTCAGTTATTCGTTTTCACGTAGTTTTTATAATAAACAGTCTAAAATGTCATACATTTCGTTATCTTCTGGACCAAATATGGAAAAAATAAATTTAACAACTTTAAATGTTGGACAACTTACAATGCTGAAACAACAATTGGATCATGATCTTAGTGTTCTCCAAGACTCATTACAAACGTTAAAAATTGCTCAAAGCAAATTTCAAGAATCAGGATCATGCCTTGAAAAGATTAATCCAGCCACAGAGGGTAAGTTTGATTAATATTTTATTAAACAAAGTTTTAAATGAGAGCCTGGCTTTTGATATTTAGAGGTTAGAAAATGTGAGAATGTTTAACCTAGTTCATTCTAATAATATTCTTGAATCTGTTTTAGGTAATGAAATTCTTGTACCACTGACTGGATCAATGTATGTAGTTGGTAAACTAGTGAATACTGATAGTGTTCTAATTGATATTGGAACTGGCTATTATGCTCAAAAGCATATTACCGATGCAAAGGATTACTTTGACAGAAGAGTAGCTTATGTAACTGAACAAATGGAAAAAATTCAACAGCTGGGTCTCGAGAAAAGTAAAATAAGAGATGCAACAGTGGATGTAATAGAAGTGAAACGTAAAAATCAGACACCAAAGGAAGATTCAAAGCGCGAATAAAGTATCTCACAACTCTTCTAAATTAAATGTTCTTATATGACTTGTTCTTTATTTGTACAAATTTGTATTGGTATCAGCATTAAATTACATTGTTCTATAATTTTGTTATGCTGTGACAATGATTATTTCAAGTTCTGAATGAAAATTAAATTTAATAGGAGTAAAATATACTAAACGTTATTTTGTGATCAAATACATTTTATGTAAACATATATTATTTATTAATTACATCAGTGCTACTTTATGCATATATGCATTTTTAAAATAAACTATCATAGAATTTTACAAGCGCAATTGCAATATCAAATCTATGTTTGAAAATCTAAATTTTCATATTGCTTAATTGTAATATATTAGGATAGTTCAGGATGAAATGGAATACACATGAAGTTATAAAAAAAACCAAAGTAACGAAGGTGAATTATTTATTTGTTTTTCACTTAAGTAAAACTTCATTCACAAACAATAACAGCTTTTACCTAGAAACGTGAGATGATACATTCTGGTAGCTACAATGTTTTACGGAAGAGGTATCAAAATCATTGTCAGAGGATAGAAAACACGGTATAATAGTATTCAAATAAGTTCTCGAATACTTTGGCGCGACACATCGTCGATCTAATACATAATATTATGACATGTTATTCAGGTTATAAATTTGTCTCGTTGCAACGAGACAACGCAGGTCGCAATTACACGTAGATAATTAGCTAAATTTTTATCCTATTTACACGAATAACATACGGTCGATATTTATGTTAACGAAAAATTTGTCGCTTTTTTCTCGTCGCACTTAATAATTTCAAAATTTTACAAACAATTTGCCCTCTCCATTTCGATACAGTCACATGCGTATAGGTGAATAACAGGTTCATCGTTGTTATCTCAAATTGCACAGCAACAGCGTAACCACGGTATTAAAGAAGAACCATTCTCCAAAATGATTCGCTGCACCTCCTGAAACAAATAGAACAATTTATACAATGATTAATAAAATGTGATTATAAAAAATGTAACTGTGACAGTAGTATGCAATATAGTATTATTCTTTTAACATTATAATTACTGACATGAATGAATTTTTGTTTTGCAATTAATAATGTTTAAATCAGATAATATTATGAGAATCAAATTTATATTTGTACTCATCTATTCCTAGCATTTATGAAGAAATATTGGCAGAACAGCTTCAGAAAATTTACTTATGCTTGATATCTTGTCATCGTACATAAAGCATCTTTGAAATAGCTCCATTGCACGAATATGTTATTAAATATTTTAATAATAAAAATTTTTATACGTAAAAATTTTGTTTTCTTATCACTTTATCAATGATGAACATTCTTAATATTAATTATAATTTCTGAATTCTTTTCATTTAACTTCTTTATGACAGTATAACAAATTTTAAAAAGCTACAGATAGATGTCTCTATCTTCGAATATTAAGTATCTCCACACTATTCAAATCATGATATTCTCTATTTCGTGTTATTAGCACGAACAGAGTATTAATTTAGAACATGGTCAGTATGTATTCTGTCCTAAGAACATTGAATTTGTCGTGATACGAGTTATAATACTATTCAGTCAAAAGTATAAAGTTCCATTTAAGAAAATGAAGATGAATTCGACTTTTTATCGAGAGAAAGAATTTTTTTGAAATCTTTTATTGTAAAACTATATGAGTTGTCACATAGATTTTCAATTATGGTAGCAATCTTCCAAAGTAGGAAATACTTGTTCAGTTTTTACTCCTTTAACGGATACTACTCTGATGTCTTGTTTTTATACAAGTCTAATGATGCGTTCAATTACACTTTTGAATTGTAGAAAGGAAATGTCAAGGGGTTCTCATTTTTATTTTCTCTCACGTTTTTATATTTTTCATGTAATCTTTCTTTCAAATATTTTTCTTCGAGGACATTAATTATACAATTAATCGAAAATTACTGACAATGAGACATTCGGATATAGTGATGGAAAATCAAGTTATGACAATACTTATTCGTTTACATTGACTACAAATATACACACGTCTAGAAATAATAAACATCGTTGCCCGTTAGTTTTTCCGATAGAATCGATTTAGTTTATGCAATAACTGAAACAAAAATAATACCGTTGTCTGCCATCTTTATATGATTGACAGAACAAATATGAATTTAAAAAAAAATATCAGGTCTGTTATTCTTGCTAATAAATAACGAATACTTACATTTTTAAAAATACACACTTGCTTCGTCATATTAAAGAATATTTTGTACAAAAATAAAAAAAGAAAATGGCGTATAATGTGAACGAATAAAAGGTATAACCAATGTTTTCTTATTATATTATATTATATTATTATATTAATATTTTTCTTTTGTATATTTTTTAATTGGATACATTCGTTAGTGTCTATTTAAATATGTACTTTTATTATGGCACACGTTGCATCGATGCACGGGGTGAAAAATTCGAACGTGTTTCGTGACAAGAGTAATAGAATAAATAACGTCAAATATTTCATGAACGATAAGTTTCAGGTTAAACACATCTTTGTCAGTAATTTTACATTAAAAATTTGTGATTTTACTGAAATCGATTACAAAAATTGGTCACTGCATTAAAAATATTAAATATTCTTTTGAAGAAAAAAGGAAAACCATCTCGTAAATCTGCACTATACATTAAGATATTAAAAAACCATTGTTACAATATTATATATTTATTTAAATTCTACAACTTTCATGGTTAACATTTTCATGTACTTGTTGAAATAACGAGAATTTGTTTGGCTAGAATTTGTGGGACACCCTGTATAGTATTACAACCGTTTTGATATACTACTGATAAGATGTAGGAAGATTCTTTTATACAGATAGGACTAACATGTTAGAAATTCAAACAGTGTTAATTGCAAAACAAATTGAGAAGATTAGTATCGTTGGCGAGTAGGTATAAACAGATCTGTAGGATATACCGATATAAGAAGATTCCCGTGTTCCTAGTACAGATGCCAAACGTGGTCGTTCCTCGTTCAAACGAACATCAGCTTGTTTTTTGTATAAATGAAAGACGTTAGCGTTACAAACAATATGTAATCTTCCGTTATTAAAGCTATCAGGTATAATCTCGTAATCCAGTCCTGCGATAGTCATCAGCTGCTGATTGTCACCAAGCTTGTCCGTCACGTTCATTACGAAACTAGAATTCACCTGAAACACCAAATTTCAATTAATCGAGTATAAAAAGGATATTAGTGGAATATCGAAAATTACAAGGTGTAAAATGTAAAAATAATGTATGCAAAGTATAATAAGAAATAAAATGTAAAAATAGCGGTGAGGCATTTTACGCAGTAAATATGGAGATTTATAAATTTCAAATTGTTAAATATTGTTATGTAATAAGAAAAAGTTATGTAATATTTCAGTGAGCAGAGTATTGGAAATAGAGAAGAACAGAGTATTGGAAATCACTAGACGTAAAATGTAAAAAATAAAATTCTAAAAATGTTGATATATGTAAAATTTTATAAATTTGAAATGACTAAATATTATTGTACGATGAAAGGTAGTTGTATAAATTTTTCTATAGCAGAAATGTAAAAGTTTAATTAATACGATATAAGCAAACGTTACTAGAATATAGAAAAACAGTGTATATTAAATACCGATAATAAAATGTAAATAATAAATTATAAAAATAATAATTCAAGTAGTTATATCTTATTATATGGTACAATGAAGATGTTTAAATTTGTATTGTTTTATTTTTGCATTAGTAATAATTCATTCGTAAATTCGTTTTCGTGCTTTGTTAAATATTCTGTTGAAGGAATTTAGTGATTTCAAAATTGAATAATTTTTAGTACTTTAATAGTTTTGTTATTTTTTACTAGTATTAATAGTATATTTTTTTTTATTAGTCAACTATTTAGAGTTTCTGAATAAGAAGATTCTTCATTCGTTCTTCGTAAATTCTACTTCACGATTTGCCCAAACATATATTTTTGTAGATAAAGCAAAACTGAAATTAAGCTGTTTAATTAAATCGTTTAATGAGTGAAATTAACCGCAATTACACAATTACGTGTACAATATTAACTCTTGATTGGAATTACTCTCAATTTTAATAATCATTCGTTTATAAAGACTTAATTAAGTTTGAACGTATTGGATATTGGAATAATATTAAACATTTAATCCAGTTGTACAATAATTCTGTGAAGTACATTAATCAAATTTTCAGCAATATTGTTTGAGAGTGTTTCAACTTCCAGTGTCATTACAGTAAATAAAAATTATATTTCCTCCCATATTTCCTGTAAAAGGTATTTTATATTTATATTGCCATATTTTATTATACTTCACATTATTATATTTATCTCGTCAGTTTTATATAGCTAGATTTTATTTTAATTAAGATTACATCTCAACATACACGTTTCATTAGAAACCTTCCCATCCTTTACATTGCCATATTTATTTACTATACTTCGTTATATTTCATTAAAAGCGAAATCAAAAATTAAAAATATTTTATTTAAAATATTTCGTACTATATTTTATATTTGCATTTCGTACTTGTATTATTTTATATCTACATCGAGGAAGGACAATAATAGCATATTTCCACATATGTACATTATTATATTACTTTAAAGGGGTCGTCAACTTTTTGATTTAATTATACTACTCGAAATGTTATTATTCTGTTATTAGATCAATTATCATTCTGTTGATCAAACGTTAATACATCGTTGCCGAAGGACAAAAGGAAACAAGAATGAAGAGGACCTAAATGCTGTATATACGCTACTTCCTGTTATACTTCATTAAAAGTGAAATCAAAAATTAAAAATATTTTATTTAAAATATTTCGTACTATATTTTATATTTGCATTTCGTACTTGTATTATTTTATATCTACATCAAGGAAGGACAATAATAGCGTATTTCAACATATGTACATTATTATATTACTTTTAAAGGGGTCGTCAACTTTTTGATTTAATTATACTACTCGAAATGTTATTATTCTGTTATTAGATCAATTATCATTCTGTTGATCAAACGTTAATACATCGTTGCCGAAGGACAAAAGGAAACAAGAATGAAGAGGATAAAGTGCAGTATATACGCTACTTCCTGTTTCTCTGTTACATTATAATACTTCTCCCTCAGGAGCCGTGAATGATTTGTGGTGTATTCAGCTGCAACTATAATGTTTATCGGATTGTTAGGAAATCCATAAACCGTTTCAGATTGCTGGCTTGCACCGAAATAAGAGCCGGGGTTAAATGAAGTTGGTTGTACTTAGATGATAGCCGAAGCAAGCATAATTTCCTGAACAACTTTGTTCTACACTTATAACGGTATAGTGTCGTTGCATTCGAGGATCGATCATGTTTTGTACATTTTCTCGACACGTTTCTTACTGTTATTTTAATATTCTATTTTTCTTCCCTTTTTATTCCGCGATGCAGGAGCTTGTACTACATTTAATCGATTTTCATCGTGGGCACAGATTTCCAACGAAATAACACATCGAACTTGGTTATTTCTACTCGCGTAATTTTATTTGAAAATATGAAACGTTTTATTTAGATTATCCTATAATATATATCGAAAAATTAACCCTTTGCACTCGAGAGGCGCCTCTCAGTCGCCATTTAATCAGATTCTAGAGATGGACGTTAATTAATATATCTAATTTACAATTACCCAACGATGCATGGAAGATCGAAGTAAAATAATTCTACGTCTTAATTTGCATACGGTTTCTTATTCACCGTTTTGGAAATATCGTCGACTTTATGGCAGAAAATTCTTCGAATTATTATTTTCCTGTAACGAAAAGATTGCCGAGTGTAAAGGGTTAATACACCAGTTAACGAGTACATTAGTCAATACACTATTTTATCCAAATTATGGGAAAATAAAATGTCACGTTATGTCTTAAAATTTTTTCTCAACAGTAAATTCGTTTCTCCTTTGGAAAATTTAATAATAACTTTTGACTTATTATTTTATTAATAAAAATTAAATAGAGAACGTACAAATTTCGGAGACGTAACATCATAAAATAAATTTAGAAAATTTCAATTTAAAAAAGAAGGTGTTTTAATAAATAATATACTTCAATAAAATATAAAAAATAGAATAAAATGAAATAAAATGTATCGTACCTTTTCAAAAAGAAGAATTTATAATTACTTTATTTTCATTTTATTAGCGAAAAAATCGCCAAAAATCGAGTGCAAAGGGTTAACATTATTATTTCATTTAAAGACGATATTTTTCGTAGAAAATATAATTTTTGTAATTCGAGCAAGTTAAACTACATGTATATATTCTTGACACTCGATGAAATGGAATTTATTAGAATCGTAAAATACGAATTATTTATATAAGAATGAATAGCATCCAGGAAGTAGAATGTGCATACTGTGTGTGGAAAGATGTGTGTTTGTTCTGAAAGATGAGAGATTCGTTGGTTAACTGGCATGAGAGGAAGTATTTGCATGGTAACAATGATTTTCATTTTCTTTCAAATATCTCATTCTACAATAAATTGAATACTTAAGCTTATTTAATCATAATAATTTAAGAGTAATTTAAAAACAAATTGTATAAATATTTTATGCGATATCTATAACAGTATAAGAGATTTTATTTCAGAAACGTATGTAAATTTTTCATTATCTATAAAATTAGAATTTCTTTATTCCTTTATTTAGCAATTTCCGGTTTAAAATTATTTATATTTGTTATTTATATTTATATTTGTAATAAACTTATTTATATTTATATTTATATACAAAGTTACATACCATTAATTTCAATTGAGTATTAAAACTTGATGCAAATTTTCGAAATTTTTTCCTTTTTCTCAGTAACCATTTGCGAATACCTGTACAGAATTATATGATTGCAGACTGGAATTTCAAGTTAAAGTCACATGCGAAGTGACTTCACATTGACACCTCTACGTAGAAGGAATATGTAAGGTGCATTCAAAATTCAAGGCGTTACTTAAGAATTATATATTATTCTCTTTATATGCGTAGCGTCTGTAGCATTTTAAGAACATCATGGAAAGAAACATGAAATTCAATACGTTCGACTTCACGTTTCTATTTATAAAGTTAGAAACTAGGGTAAATTTCTTGCAAAAATTCTATTGCATAAAACAATAGCTGTAATTTATCTAGGAATTTATTAAATATCTCAAACAATATGGATGTAAACAAATTTTTCACACAAAAGTTGTTAGGTACCAAGGAATGCGTATAATTCTTGTGTTTAACCTTGAAATGACCTTGAAAAGCTTTACGAAGGTTACGTTTAAATTTTTAAATAGAATTCCATATTTTTTATTTCATATTTCTGCAGCTTACGTTAAGACGTTTTCAAAACAATACCTATTCGTGTATTTTGCACTAGCGAAAACTGAGACTGTATACAAATGTGTATATTGTATACCAAAACATTCATGAATTGTAGAGTGAACGATTGTATATGTTTTTAATTTTAAAAGAATCTTTTAAAAATGTATTTTTGAAGAAATCTAATTTAATTTCAAAGGTGTATTTATAAAACGTATTTTTAAAAATATTTAAACTAATTTCAAGGGTGTGTTAAATTTGCAAATATCCAAGTATTTCGTTTATATTTATTTCCATTGTTTTAGAATTCGATATATTATTTCACTGTTGCAATACCATTTTTTCGTTTTATATATGTATGGGCATTTATAAAATAATGTACGAATTTATGACTCTTGACATTGACGATTTTATCGTGTATTCAAATAATTCTGATTAATAGCAAATAGATTTAAATGGACGTAAATTGCCTTCTATTTATTTTATTCTTTTATAAGGGTTAAAACGTGTAATTAAAATATTAATTGTTACAGGTATACGTATAACAATGTCAAACATAAAGATTCAATGTCTATTTCTGTTGGCTGACTTTTTATAAATTTTATAAAAACAGTTTCCAATAAATTTTCTCTTGGTTTTCTTGCATCATTTTAAACGAACAATTTTAATTTAAAGAGAATATATTAACATCGGAGGGATTCCTTCAAAAATAAACAAAATAAAAATAAAAATAATTTATACTTATTCACTTTGGATTTACTCACACAGCAATCCTAACGTTAAATTAATTTTATTAACACAATGTATATCTATTAAATTTTTAGCTGTTATATGAAATTAATATTTGAAAGGAAATATATTATAAACTTTTTTAATTGTAATTATTTCATAAATTTATAACTAATTAAAATATGATTGATATTTCAATTTTAATATTTCATCTGGTCTATGAAATTTTTCCTAGCCCAGAAGCGGACTAATAAAAATTCGTTTAAGACAGTGAAATATGGAATTGCGAAAGTGGCAACGTATTGATCCGAGTTACAATGACAACTTATCCGAAGGGCCGAACACCTTTCGAAAGTTTCTACATCCATCAACCTACCGGCACCCCATTGACAGTCCACGTCACATTTGCTGGAGGATTTCCAGAAGGAACAGTGCAGTTTCCACGCACCGTATCCCCTACTGCGTAGCGACTCTTCTCCACTCTCACTTGAGGATCGCCATTAGGTAGATCTGAAATTTATCAAATTTCTTAGTAACGGAACGAAGCTTGATAATATGACAGTTTAAAAAAGTAATTTTTATAATACGAATATACACAATTTATTGTAAAGATATTAAAAAAAGTGAATAATAATAATAAATTGTTGCACGATTAGAATTGTGGTTCTGCATTTTTAATTTCGCATCAAGTTCAGTGGCTTTCACTATTTTCATAACCAATATTTCTAATCGTATAATAGTTCGTATAGGTTAGGTTTCAATGGCCTGTTCTTGGTCTAGGGACATTTGTTATATGGGAAGGCTAGTTCTTTTGTCAAGTGATACGACAGTCAAATTTTGGAGTGACTGGTTCTAATGTGAAAAATACCTACAGTCGTTAACAAAAACATTTTTTCAAGTACAATTTAGATTTTCATTCCATTTTCAGCATAATTAAATTTATCGAATTTCTTAGGAACGGAACGAAACTTGTTAATATGACATTTTAAAAAAATAATCCTTATAATGCGAATATACACAATTTATTGTATCTTTGTTAGGAACTTTTTGTACAAGCAATGATATTAATAAAAGTGATGACAATAATAAATTGTTACACGATTAGAATTGTGGTTTTGCATTTTTAATTTCGTATCATGTTCAGTGGTTTTCACTATTTTCATAACCAATATTTTGAATCGTATTATAGTTCGTTTAGGTTAGGTTTCAATGGCCTGTTCTCGGTTTAGGGACATTTGTTATACGGGAAGGCTAGTTCTTTTGTCAAGCGATACGACAGTGAAATTTTTTAGTGACTGGTTCTAATGTGAAAAATAACTACAGTCCATGTGAAAAATATCCAGATTTTCATTCTGCTTCTAGCATAATTTTGTTCTTCCATCGATATCAGAAATATTATATTCTTTATTAATTATACTCAAATATAGTTTAATATCTTGTGCTTATTGTATATTTAATTAAAATACAGAGAAGTAAAGTAAACGTACACTTGTATTTATATATTTTTGTGATCGATTGTACCTGATCCTTCTGAGACAGTGAGTTGATGAATTATTTTAATTACATAGGCTAATCCAAATAACTAAGTTCGTCTATAACCATATTTTAATTGTTATATTTTATATAGATAATGCAAAACACGAACTTTAAATAAATTTTACAATTTCATATTTTTCAAACAATTTATTTTACAATTATTTCTGAAAATATTCTCATACCTATTACTTCTATTTTATTAACTCGTATACTCCTGATTAGACCAACTCCTTTAATTGTCTTAAAGTATCTCAATTTCAAATTTCATTTCATCTTTTTCTACAACGATAGTATACACCATATCATTTTCCGGAATCGCTGTAGATCTCCAGGAATATCTCATGCAAGTTATAAGATAACGAATAAACGTGAATTAAAAATCGAAGAACTTATGAGATAGTAACTCGAACGACATACGAACAATTTGTCAAAATAAAGCAGTAATTTTTAATAAAGGTGGACTCAAAGGTAATCTTCTTTTCCTTTCATGAAACGTTTCCAATTGCAAGTTAGCAATAAACTATTATTTATGAAGGCATAAAGAGCACGAGGTATAGTATACGAGCCAATATTTCAAACGAATTGGAACAGCGAATTAAAGATTGTTGTCGAGAAACAAGGAAAGGTTGTTGAGTAATTGAACGTGTACATATTTGACGGTGCAAAATATGTACCTATGTGCCTGGGTATGCGTTGAAACGAACGGAGGACATGTCGAACATTTGTCGTAGATGAAGGTAATATTTCACTAACGAAGATGTCTCGTAAATCCCCCAAAAATAATATTTCGACTCGAATTCATTAACAGCTTTCACTTTATTTCGGTGAGTGCCATGTTCTTAAATTTTTGCGAAATTTTTGGTAATATTTCCTGTTAAAAACTTACTATTGACAAACAACGAGAATTTAGTATATATCAATATATACAATAAATTACGAAAAATTGAACAATAAAATATTTATCGAGAAATAAAACAATAAAATATCTATAGACAAAATTATCGATGATTATTAAGTATCGATATTTATTAAATTTTGAATGAAGTTATTATCAAAGCAACGAGAATTGTAAATTGAAAAAATTGATCATTAAAATGTGTATTGAAAAATAGATAAATAAGAAATATTTATTATTTGAAATATATAATAATTGCAGCAAAATTGTGGCTAAAGAGCATGCCAAATATATTTTGTTATTACATAAAAATGTGATTATTCCTTTTGAAAGTTTCTTATTCGATGTGATATTATTTCATAGTTTAATTATTAGACAGGCGATAAGAATTAATTAATCTATTTAACTCTGGAGTAGATTTCACTTGTTTACTTTTAAAACCGTCAAAGAGGTTTTAAGGTTAACTGGAAAATTTCTGGAGCTTAGAGTTTCCAAGTCTGTTGAACTTTCTGATTAATCTAGATAATCCGATAATTTACTTTGATCACGAGATTTAAAAAAAACCTTGAATTATTGTTAAAGGAAGTCACTCTAGTGGCTATATTCTCATATTAACGTACATCAAGATGCCTCACTTAAAAGCCACTTACAGGCAATAGCGATTAACTCCAATTTCAGAATTCAAAAAAATTGTTATCTTATTATCAGAAAAATCGCTACAAAAACTAATTCGAAGAGGGAAAACAAGAACCATATTTGTCGTTATCAATTCATCACTGTTCAGTTCGATCGATAACAAACCGTCGTTTACATAAATCAAAAGACAGAAGATTACTATCATGCATGCACTTATTAAAATAATTATATCGAAACCTTTTATATTTCCAAGGAACGAATCACTACGAATATTAATTCGAAGTACCGAAAAACTCGACAATTTCAAGTTTCCATGGTAATTTTTTAATAGCGATACTTATTACCAATGATTCGTGTCTCCCATTTATTATTATTCTCTGAATTTCGAAAAATTTTATATTTTCAAGGAACAAATCACTATGAAAATTAATTCAAAGTACCGAAAAGCTCGACAATTTCAAATTTCCATGGTAATTTCTTAATAGCGATATTTATTACCAATGATTCGTGTCTTCGATTTATTATTATTCTCTGAATTTCGAAACTTTTTATATTTGTAACGAAGGAATTACTATGAAAATTAATTCAAAGTACCGAAAAGCTCGAAAATTTCAAATTTCCATGGTAATTTCTTAATAACGATATTTATTACTAACGATTCGTCTGTTCGATTTATCATTATTCCCTGAATTTCGAAACCTTTTATATCTCTAACGAACGAATCACTATGAAAATTAATTTGATTTACCGAAAAACTCGACAATTTCAAATTTCCATGGTAATTTCTTAATAACGATATTTATTGTTAACGATTCGTCAGTTCGACTTATCATTATACCTAATTGGACTTATCGTTATTCCGTGAATTTCACGAAGGCCGGAACTGCAGGGCGCGCCATTGTCAGATGAGCTCGGAGGCATACTTTTTCGCTCGGGGTATCCTACGGCGAGGTATTCCGTATACATAACACGTCATGTACATCTCGAGGGATCATTATGCCGTCCACAGAAGGCAGTCAATTTCCTGCTAGCGGTAGCAAACTGTCAAAGAATTGTCTCACTTCGGCTGAATGACTTCCGCCTGGCAAGCCAGTCCTTCGCCCTGATCCTCTCCAGAGCTCTCAAGGACACGATCGCTGGAGATTACCATTTTGAACTTGTTTGGTAATGTTGTGGATGCGAGGCGATCATCCCGTCTCGTGAGAATGGAGAAAAGGAAGAAAAGTAGAGAGCGTCTGAGGGATACAAGGCGAGATTCGAAGGCTCGATCCAGTATCGAGCTTTTACGAGCGATCCGTGATCGGAAAGGAGAGGCAATCACCTCGTCTCTTCAAAGAAGAATCGCTACCGTGGTTGTGGCGTCGTTAAGTCGACGTTCAACGAGAATACGAGACGGTGGGAACGGGACCCCGATATTCTATCCTTTATCTGTCTGTCCTCCCTTCTTTTTTCCGCCATTTCTTTTTCCATGTTACGTTTCGTCACACTGCCCTTTCTACCCGTGTTTTAATTGGCCCCGCGATTGCCGCGACAGTGCTGCTCATCGCGCAGAGTGATCAGCGGCCATAACGCGGTCGCGGTGGTGAGAGCACGAGCACGCTGGTATTGTGAATCGACGTAAAAGAAATAATGGGTCACGATTCGGTTGCTGGTTCGCCACGGATGCTCGAGTGTCTCGTGTTCCTCTGATATACACGATGTTACCGATTGAAAGTTAATAGTGCATGCCGAAAGGTCAATCAGCGGGGAACTAGGTGAAATGACACCGAAGGAAAGTTAGGTTATGTTTATCGGAACGAAGCTGTTAATTAACGGGTAAGTCGGTTAAGAGAGCCGTGAAATATAGACGACGAAATGAAAAGGAGCGTGTATTCTGTGATTTAATGAGCCTGCTTTTTCCTCTTTCCCCAACGTTTTGTCCCGTATTTAAACTTTACTACCTCGATAATTCCGTGGTTAGTTTAATCTCGCGGATTGACGTGTCCCATGGTCGTTCGTGAAACGAAAAGCGATAACTGGCGAATGTGATCGTACCATAGATTAACATCGGTAATTATACGTATTACCGTGGTAATAAGGAAGTATTGGACTAATTTATTTGGCCAATGCTGGAATAGAATAGGTATCGAAAATAAAAGTGCGGAATGAGCAGGAAATGCTTAATGGTAAGACTATTTTAACCCTTAGGAAACGATGATATATGTATGTAATTCGTATTCCAAGGAGAACTTCATTTCACAGATTTTTTAACGAATATTAAATGAGCGCTAATGTTACACTGTTATACAATTTCTTAATGTTCCTACGGACAAATTATCCCCTCTGGCTGCATTATTTATATCACGCGTAAGCAGATACGTAGATATCGGCCGCTGTTAATGTCTTTTCGCGAATATACTTTTTACATGCAAAACGACTCGGTAATTGCCATTTTGCATACTAACTATGAATAGAAATGCTACGTATCGTACTTTCACACGCTGTTTTATAGAAGAAAAGAAATAAATGAAAATTTATGTAATTCCAAATGTACTCGCGCTTGTATGCAAAATAATTCGTTTCTTTTGTCACTTTTAAATTTTATACAGGTCATAATTATAATTCGACGCGATAAATCTTTGGTAAACGATTACTCTCTAATTATAATTCGACGTTATAAATGTTTTAGCGAATGATTACTCTGTAATTACAGTTTCGACACCATAAATTTTCACTAAACTGTTACTCTGTAATTATAACTTGATATATTGAATTTAAAGTAAATGTTTAGTCTCTAATTACGATTTGATATAATAAATTTTCAGTGAACATCTACTGGTTAATTATACGTAAATATAATAAAATTCAAGCAAGCGTTCACTCTTCAATTATAATCTGCCAAATTACATTTTAAGTAAATCTTTAATTACAATTTCATATAATACCTTCTGATTGTAATTCGACATAATAAATTTCAAGGTAACGTTTATTATGTAATAACATTTTGATACAATAAATTTGGAATAAATTTTTACTTCTTAATTATAGTTTGATGCAATAAGTTTCGAGTAAATTTGCTCCCTGATTACAATTTTGATTATTAATTTTTAATACAGGTTTATTCTCTAATCATAATTTCGTGCAATAAATTTCAAACGTTTACTCTTCGATTCTATTTTAGTATAATAAATTTCGGACAAACTTTTACTCTTTAATTACTATTTGATACAATAAATTTTCAATAAATGGTTGCTAACTAATTACAGGCTGGCATTATAAATTTCAAGCGAACGTTTGCTAGAAAATTTAACTATTCTCTACGACGCTAGTTTCTATTAATTAGCTCTTCGCATGAATAGGAAGTAAAATTACGATACTTACTAGCCACGTACATGTAAGCAAAGACCGTTATGGTATTAAACGTCGGAGAATCGCCAGAAACCTCGCAGCGGTATTTTCCAGTATGGTTTGACTGTACGTCCTTTAAAACTACGCGATTGGCATCACTTCGATTTTGCTGAAACGTAATTAAAGATAACACATTAAAGGATATTTGCAATTGTAATTAAATCATAATCAGAAAGTATACTAATTGCAGATCGCGAATTTTTTCAATCGATTAGAAATTGATATTAGAAATTTGCCTAACTAAACAAAAATAACCATTCTTCTCTACTTTATGAGGCTATTAAACCCTCTATGGGATTACTAGCAATATGCAAATTTTTATGCATGATATTAATGCTATGCAGACGGGTCTATTTTTCATATAGGTGCCATTTGAATACGAGGTTTTGGAATATATAATCACATAACGACGTGCACTGAAAAATTGAATAGAAGCTATAAGTGATATTTATATTGACAAATTTTGTTTTCCCTTAGAAAGAAGATTGTTTTTGAGTATGTTTACTATAATATCGATAACACCAAATAACATGGCTATATGCTGTCACTCCATGACAGAGATTTCATATTGCATTAATTTGCGTTATACTGAAATAAAGCTATTTTCGAAAAAATAATAAACAACAGTCATTTGTTGAAATTAATTCTTTTAATTTGTAATATATTGGGTTAGCAAGAAAGTAATTTCGGTTTGCATCAATAAATAATGTTATGCTTGTTTAGTTATTCTTTTGTCAATGTTAGAATTGTTTTCTTTTGAGATGTGGTAGTCGATACCTTTAGGTTGCTATTTCGTGAAATTCCGTGTAATTTCGTTTATAACTGTCAGTTCATGGTCAGTTTTAACATGGAGTGCAAAAATAAGCATTTTCGACACATTTTACTTTTTTATTTTCATAAAGGCAAGAATGCGGCTGAGGCTCGCAAAGAGATACGAGAAGTTTATGGTGTTGATTGTTTAACAGAACGCACGTGTCAGAATTAGTTTAAAAAATTTCGTTCTGAAGATTTTTCACTGAAAGATACCCACAACGTTCTGGTCGATCTTCTGAGATTTACGCACTTGGTTAAGTTTTTTGCAGATAAGGACCAGAAATTCTGAGAGCGGGATCATGAAGTTACCAGAAAGATGGCAAAAGGTCATCGAATAGAATGGAAGATATTTGACCGATTAAAGTTCATTTACTGTATAGAAAAAATTAAGTTTTATTTCACACTAAAAAACCGAAAGTACTTTCTTGCTAACCCAATACTTAAAATATAAACTTTTCATATTTCCAAACGAAACACGCACAATTTACACTACTTTCGTAATCACCAACGCAGTTAACGTAATAAATAATTTTCACGAAGGCGTATCAAAATGGTAACAAAAGAAGAGAATACATTTCCGCAAAATTCACGTATCACGAAATTTTACGAACGAAAAATTGAACTCTACGAAATAACTGTTCTTTACAACTTTCGTAAATTTAGCGACGCAACGATGGTCAACAAAGTCCCCTGACACATCAATCAAGACGCTTTTATATTTGGTGCCATCGCTATTGGGTAAACGTCGACAAAGTAATCTCGTAAATACGTTTTCAGTGGCGTGGAACAAATATAAAAGATCTTCGATTTATTCGATCTAGCCCCATTAAAGATAAATCCTGCGCGCCGCTATTTGTAATGCGAATCGAAATAATCGTTTTACGCATAACTTATTGTCGCGGTTCGACTGAAATTCAATAGTCGCGCGATAAGGTAAACGCATATTTTTCCCATTGAATGTCGTCGTAACGAGTTCAAACGGTATAATTAAACGTAAATTGAAAAATAGCCGCGATATGAAGCGATCAGGTTGAAACTGGCGAGCTGCGGCCCGAGTCAATTCAGCATCGATGATCACAGGAAAGTCCGGAACGCCAGTGAACGTGGCCGCGTACCATTTATTGCAAATCGATCGCACTTACTCGTTCCCTTTGACATCCTCGCACATTCGCCCGTTCATGACAAACAATACCTCACAACAACGATTAATTACATGTTGCCAGTGGCAGCATATAAATCACACAATCAATTTTCGTCGAGTGCCCCAGTGTTTGCGGTGTGAACACTCTCATGATCCGAGTTGCCAATAGAGCCGCGCTGTCAGGCGAGCCAATACTTTTTAGCCCAGCCTCGCGATGCCTCGACACGTTTTCTCAATCTCGGACGAAACGTTCGATACATCGGGCTATTGGAATTTTTTAATTTCGGAAAAAATGCAAGTCGTATCGGTAACCGATTTCTTACACCGGCCCAGATGCTTTGAGACACTTTGATGGGTCATTAAACACGTGGGTGCAATATGTGGTTCGAGGTAACACGTTCGGCTGCGATTTCCGGTTTGTCGCGTAGAGCTTCGATGATGTGTGAAATTTAAGCGAGCTAAGAATTATTTTTGTTGAATATTATTATTATTATTATGTTGAGGAATATTGGTGAATTTTAGAAGCATATTTGATATTTCCTAAAATGTTTGGGATTCGTACGAAAGGGGGATGATTGGTATAAAATAAAGATAAACGAGAGATAAGTTTTCCATAGAGTGCAATATCGATGTGTGAAATTTAAGCGAGCATAGAATTATTTTTGTTGAATATTATTATTATTATTATGTTGAGGAATATTGGTGAATTTTAGAAGCATATTTGATATTTCCTAAAATGTTTGGGATTCGTACTAATTTTGATATTAGCGAATTTTAGAGGTATGATATCTAATATTCTTTATTATAATAGGAATGTAGCAAAATTATATTTTAATTGCCATTTTATATTACAATATGGTATATTGCACGAATTTTTTTAGAGAGCTGAAGAATTTTACGAGTAAATTTTAATAACGTGTAATATGGTATAAAATAAATATAAAGGATAGATAAATTTTTGATAGAGTGCAATATTGAAATGAGTATAAAATTAATTTTGGTATTACCGAATTTTAGAGGTATGATATCTAATATTCTTTATTATAATAGGAATGTAGCAAAATTGTATTTTAATTGCCATTTTATATTAAAATATGGTATATTGCACGAATTTTCTTAGAGAGCTGAAGAATTTTACGAGCAAATTTTAATAACGTGTAATATGGTATAAAATAAATATAAAGGACAGATAAATTTTTGATAGAGTGCAATATTGAAATGAGTATAAAATTAATTTTGGTATTACCGAATTTTAGAGGTATGATATCTAATATTCTTTATTATAATAGGAATGTAGCAAAATTATATTTTAATTGCCATTTTATATTACAATATGGAATAAAATAAATATAAATGACAGATAAATTTTTGATAGAGGGAATATTGGAATGAGTATGAAATTAATTATAGTATTACCGAATTTTAGAGGTATGATATCTAATATTCTTTATTATAATAGGAATGTAGCAAAATTATATTTTAATTGCCATTTTATATTACAATATGGTATATTGCACGAATTTCTTTAGAGAGCTGAAGAATTTTACGAGCAAATTTTAATAACGTGTAATATTTAAATGAGCACAAAATTATGCCACGTGAGCAAATTATACTCGAATGCAGCTAAATAGACTCCCAAGAGCTTACTGGCTCCTACAAGCGCAATATCCAATATCCTCCAAAATTATAATATTCCAAAAGCCATACGGAAATAATGAGAATACAATTCGTGCCATCTTGCAACACAAAATTATCAGTAAATAATCCGAACTAATATTACCAAATTTTCCTACAGATCTGAGTAAAACGAGCAGAGAATTTTTCCTAAAATGTGATATTAAATTGGATACAATTACTCTCAGAACAATTATCATACTAAAATACATTTGCTACTTAATATTCCCTAAAAATACAATATTCTCAAAATTAATATAAAAATGACGATACATTATTGCAGTGCAAAATTATCAATAAATAATTCAATACATTGTTTAAATTTTCTCAGAATGCCGAGAAAGGGTACGAAGTAGTTCTGCTGAAAATACGATATTGATCGGAGCACGAATAATCTTTGGACAATAATTATATTCAAATACGCACGAGCAATCCTGCAGGTCTAGCATCAAACTCTAATACCTAATATTGCTGAAAAATAAGATACTCTGAGAATCCGACAAAACAGGCAAGAATACCATACATCCCACCTTGCAACACCAAATTATCACTAGCTAATCCGATATTATCATCGAAATTCTCAGAGAGGGGTGAAAAAGGCGAGAAGCAATTCTCGTGCGGATAAGCAAGGCCAGTTTCGCTCGGAGGTTAGACATGTCGGACTCGTTCGTAAGAACCTTATAGGCGTACCGATTTTTCATCGTAAGTACGAATCGGGTGTATAATTTGCCGCCGCGGTGGAAAATATAACATCGCGAGGTATTGTTCATGCATTCGAATAAATTACGCTGCGAAGAAGAAGAAAAACGGATTGCGCGGAATTGCGGATGAAACGATTTGCCTGGGAAAATAAGTGGGATCGATCGACTATGCTCGATCGACGGTGTAGTCACGCATCGGTACGGCTGCTACATGCCATTTCACACCATGCCTCTCTGGCTTACATCGATTCGACAATTCGCTGCCGGCCACCACGCATAAATTCATCCCGGCTGACTGATAATTTTAATAATGTTACCGTTTGTGAAATACGAAGCGCCTCTATCTCCTACCCCCACCTCGCGCTTCCCCCACCCGCCGATTTCCCGACGTACTACCCATTCCGCATTCGCAGCCGCGAGCCCCTTGGGGCGCGAGCTGCGACAAAAATCATACAAACTATATAATGGCGAATGAGTTCACGTGATGTGCGCGGATATGACGTGGAAAGTGGCATTTCAAACGAAAGAATAATTTTCCTGATGAAAATTTCAACCGATAGGCGACCGCGTAACGGATGAATTATTGGGCGCGATTATTTTTAGATCTGTCACTTTTAATTGGGGTGAACCCCATTTCTGATTATTTTCAATTTCCACGCGAATTTCTGCGAGGCAACGAAAAATTTTAATTTTCCTCTTAGAACTGAATTTTCGATCGAATCTTTGCCGTAATCTTTATCGATTATAACGAAATAAAATATGAACGAAGATTTGACAATA